GACACTTGCTTTTGTACTCGCCAGCGAAGGGCTTTCTGCATTCTGATTGCACGAGTATTGACCAAAATTATGCGAGAGACAACAAAATCACACAATTCATTTAAACTTCTCGCCCAGAGAAGTTTGCCAATTGAGAAATTCCCGCCCTTAATTCCGCGCAGCGAGAATGCTGAAAACTCGTACGGGAACGTCTGTTACGCAGATTATCACGTGTTTGAAACTACACAAATATGGCAAAAAAGTTTGTTTCCTAGGCCATATGATAAGAACAGCTTGTTGAATGTTTTATGATAGCTTCAAATGCAGTCTTATTTATTGCACGCTCCATACTGGAATCTCGTAATAATAGCCAAATTGAGCGTTAATAAAGAACCCTGAGATGATTTTCCTTATTTCATTTTTTCACCATCATAACCGATTAAATACGTAAAGGGAAAACTTCATTTGATGAATGAACCCATCTTGTCAGTAATATACCATCCGGTCTTTTAACCCAATTATATTTACAGTTCGATTCTGTGTATCCATCTTTTCAACCGGTTCATCAATACGCCAATTAAATTCTTTTTTGTATGTCTTTATTGGCTATTTTGGGGGTTGACCTTGCACAAAACCTGACAGAATACGAAAGGGGGTTATGTGTGCTCATAAAACTAACCAATGGAAGCATTGTAAACGAAACAAACGATGTGCAGGGTCAAGGACCTTCCAACATAAACCTGAGCCCGTTTGTGTGCTTCTTAATCTTTGATTGTTACCGGGCTTCTTAATCATTCCCGTTATTAACTATGAAAGCGTTTTAACCAATTGCAACATCCGGACATGGTCCGTAACTCGGATTCTTTCATTTAGAGTTCACCACACTAACCATGCATCAAAACAGGAACTCTTGCCTCTCATAGCGTAGTATNGAGAGATAACAAAATCACATAATTCATTTAAACTTCTCGCCTTAAGAAGTTTGCCAATTGAGAAATTCCCACCCTTAACTCCGCGCAGCGAGAATGAGGAAAACTCGTACGGGAACGCCTGTTACGCAGATTATCACGTGTTTGAAACTACACAAATATGGCAAAAAAGTTTGTTTCCTAGGCCAAATGATAAGAACAGCTTGTTGAATGTTTTATGATAGCTTCAAATGCAGTCTTATTTATTGCATGCACCATACTGGAATCTCTTAATAATAGCCAAATTGAGCGTTAATAAAGAACCCTGAGATGATTTTCCCTATTTCTTTTTTTCTTTTTTCTTTTTTTTTTTTTCACCATCATAACCGATGAAACGCGTAAAGGGAAAACTTCATTTGATGAATGAGCCCATCTTGTAATATACCATCCGGTCTTTTAACTCAATTATATTTACAGTTCTGTGTATCCATCTTTTCAACTGGTTCATCAATACGCCAATTATATTCTCAGATACTGTGGAATCCAGCATAACAAGAAGGGCAGAATGCAAACGGAGATGAATTTCTGTGCAGTCTTTACAGGGAAGTTAAGATATTTGGAGCTGACCATCAACCAGGCATAGCGAACGGCTACTGTACTTCGTTGCCAGGCAACAACTTATCAGCAACCTTCAAATGCGCTTTCCTGCGTTACTTTTATAGGTTGTCGTTTTGCAACTGCGATACATTCGGTTATCTAAGACTATGTATTTGGTATTTACAAAAACTCAAGTGAATCGAGTTCATAACGAGCATTTCAGTAAATTACCCCTTCCTCAACACCCTTAATTCGACAGCAAAATCCAGAGAAATAATTTGTGCCTAAGGTTACGGGACAAGACAACGATAAAATTGATCAAAATTCCTAAACACGATTAACACTTCCATTTCCCAGCTCTTCTAATCTCATCTAATCAACCGTGTTTCATAGATTATATATAATATGCCAAAAAGGGTTTTGACGAATGTTAGCAAGCTAGTGGTTGAGAGGCAGCAAGAAATGTCTCTGCCACCACCTTCCCCCAACCTTCCCCTATATTACTTAACATGAAATAAAATTAGAAAAATTACGTTAACTTGCTATGTTGGAATTCTAAATTCCATTTGTATGTTACACGTACATAAAAAGTTTGGTGATGTTTAAAGAAGCTCAGTCACGGCTTGCGTATCTTTAAAAGTTAAGTCTTAATTTTTTCAAGTTCGTGGTTTGTAATCCGTTTTAATCTTCTCCATTTTTAACCATCCATGTTCCGTAATGGATTATCAGTTATCTCTCTGGTGTTTTCTATCTTAGTAAACTACTATTTTAAGGTGTCCTTCGACTGAAAGATAGTGTTGTACGTGACCAAAATAACTCGAAATGCTGAACTCCTTTAAACTCACAATAGTATCGCGCAGTAAAGTATAAGGTTTTGGATAACATGTAAACCACTTTATACTAAAATTAAAGCATGCCTGTGCACTTTCTAAACTGTTAAAGTTCTGTGGTGAATAGTCACAGATCGGTATCAAGTTCTATAATCTAATGTCTTCTCTCGATACGACTTCGGTTTGATTCTGATTCAATTTAAGAAGGCCATCTTCCTTCTTTGCCTCCTCCACAACGGGCAGCAGTTTTATACAGCTGATAAAGAAAACACACGTGATGAATATTTGATTTCACAGAGACAGTGTTTGAAAAAAAAAAGAGTCATTAACCAAAGGATGTTGTATTTATGAGCAACAAATTACCTGAACTAATATATTATGAGTAAAACATAGAAGGCATCTAAATGAATAAAACTGTCTGGCCAGCACTGAACTAAAGTTTCCGTCTCAACAATAAGATGCTGCGTTCACTCGCGTATGGGTTGCTTCCTGTAGTCTTGGTTTGATAAATAGCCTACTAACAGACGTCATTTACGTGATTCGAAAAGTTCGTGGCGAACTTGACTGTTACTTTTTATTGTAAAGCTGAAGGACTATCGATCGCGCCTACCTGACGAGCGCAAAGGGAATGAGTACCAGCAATGCACACAGGATAAACACGTAGCCTTGGAATGCAAGTCCGAGTGTCGCCTGGTACACACTGTTAAGCAGCACGGCTCCAACGAGTTGCGCCACAAAGGCAACCATATTATAAGCTGAAAACAAGGTGCCTGGAAGATAAACGGGTATACATACGTAATGTGAGTTATAAACCGTTCTCGTACAGTATTGTTCCAGCCATTTTGTAACACAACGCTTACAAGGAACCTTGCGATAACGCACCATGTATTCTATCTATGACGCAGAAAACTTCTTTATTCATTTTCGTCTTTAATTCTTTATCTACTCATATATAACCAACTCATGTATATTTTTCAAGCCGTCAAAAATCATAAAGCTGCCCTATTTTTGCCACATTTTACCTATCTGCACTTAATTCGTGAAAGGAACTTGGAAAGGTAAAAATGTATCCTTCAGGCGTCAGTTGCCCCGCGGGAATTCAAGTCAAAACGCCATTGTAAAAAGTTCCTCAAAGAGATATGATTTGAACAATTGCTATGGGTACCTCGTTCATCCTCTGCCACTATCTTTGACATCTCTCCCATTAGAACTGGAACAGGGACGCTATTGAAGACACCAACTGCGCCCGCTATGAGGAATTTAAAAGGTGTTCATTCAATTTACGATTCGAGTCAGGCCAAGTTTAGACGCAGTACTTTACATCAGCCGAATCGAATGCTAATGACAGAGAACAAAGGATTTTTCTCATTTGCATTCTGATTCGGCTCATGTGAAGTACGGCGTCTGAACTTGGCCTCAGTGGTAAGTGGCAAACCGCGACGAGAATGACATTTTGGCCATGGGACCATGTGGAATCAAAATCTGAATCAAAATCTAACTCTAAGAGGTTGCGTTCTATTTCTAGCTTCTATAAACCTGCAGTCAGTATGAACGAAACCCGACGGATTCTATAGTAATTCATAACATTACATAGTAAATGGTTTGAACTCAGGAGTATCAGTAGTTTGTATAGTGTGATCGTCCGGGTGAGGGTAGTTCTGAAAAGAACTGTTGTTGGTGACTGACGTTTCGACAACCTGAGCGGAAGTCATCTTCAGAATCAAGTGAGACTTGACTCTGAAGATGACTTCCGCTCAGGTTGTCGAACCCGGACGATCACACTATACGAACTATCATAACATTACAGTCAATCAAACATTCGATCAATCGATCGATCGATCGATACACCAACATAAAATGTATGTTCCACCGTGGCATGAAGTCCCCCCTTCCACTGCCGCTTTGAATGCACGTGTATCCCCTGGGGTACTCCCAGAAAGATTTGGTGGGGGGTGAGGCCCACTTACCAAAACCCTATTTATGACCTGGCCAAAAATTCGATACCCTATTTATGACCGTTGCGGCTGGCACAGTTGCCCTAAGCATAAATTATGAAGGGCTTTTGTTGACGGTCTTATTGATGATGATGAAAAAGTAGCTTCCTCCAAGAAATATACCCAATTTAAGACTAAAGTGCTAGAACCATATCCTATTTAGGACCGAAATGGCCAAACTTGATACCCTAATTAACGGGGCAGCACATACCTATATAGTCCTCGGGGCGTCTATTACGCCATAGAGGGGCTACTCGAGGATCGAACAAATAATCGCGTTTGGGATATCTCCTTTACTTACAAACAAAAACCATCCAAGTACGATCGGAGATTGCCAAAATAATGGAAGCCAGTACGACAGTGAGTATACCCACTCGAGCAACATTCAACTCTTTGAAACAGGTTCCAAGGAGAGGGATGCCAATCACGCTTCCAACACCGTGAACAAACGCTTCAAACGCGAATTAATATCCCACGAGAGTTGGGCTCTAACAAAGGGGACTCTTCAAAACATACAACACCTTAACACTTTCGATACTAAACGTTGATAAGAAGACAAGGTCGCCACAAAGCATCAGCAATAGAAGGTTCCTTCTTCCAGCATCTCTTCGTTTCCGAAACAGTTTAAAAAAGCATTTGAAATTTTCAAGACTGAAAAAGCGAACAGCAGTGTCGTAGTTGGTCGGCCTAGGAACTTCACAAACGCAGAATAGCGCCCAGATCCCTGAGAGAACGTAGGAGCCCAATATGAACCAGGCGGAAGGAATGAATCCTAGGTGGACTATCCACAGACCGCTGGACAGTTCACCGACTGCTGAAGCGACGAAGACTGCCAGGAACAACACCGCTATTAAGTTGCAAAAAAAAGGAAGACAGAAAAATTTACAATAGTAGCTGAACAGTACAAAATCAAGTTCCTCGCATAAATTGGTACGGATAGTATGCAAATTGGCAAATTGCAGATTAAATTAACAAAAGAAATCATTAGTACAGAGTAAAGTGTAGTATTGAGCCACAGGCTCATCACCCAGCACAAATTCCCGTTTAGGTAACAGAAATTGCAAAAAGTATATCATGACTAGACCAATGCATGTTTGTTCCATAGCACCATTATCAATAGAGACAATGGTTATAAAACGTAGCAAAGTTCTTTTTTGTATGTCTTTGTTGGCTATTTTGGGGGTTGACCTTGCACAAAACCTGACAGAATACGAAAGGTGGTTATGTGTGCTCATAAAACTCACCAATAGAAGCATTGCAAACGAAACAAAAGATGTGCGGGGTGAAGGACCTTCCAACATAAACCTCAGCACGTTTGTGTGCTTCTTAATCTTTGATTGTTACCGGGCTTCTTAATCATTCCCGTTATTAACTATGAAAGCGTTTTACCCAACATCCGGACACGGTCCGTAACTCGGATTCTTTCATTTAGAGTTCACCGCACTAACCATGCATCAAAACAGGAAATCTTGCC